CCTAGAACTCTGAAGCCCCCAAAAACCCCAAAGCCCAAAAACCCAAAACTCAAAGAAAAACCCAAAACCCTAAATTAGAACCCTAAATTAGAACTCTAAAACCCTACAAAATGCAAAAAAAACCGAAGCCGGCAAGAGATTTGCAAGGCTATCAGCGCGGCGAAGCGCGATCTGAAAGCCCCAGGCCCCAGCCGAGAGGCAGCCGCACCGGGTTTGGGCTTAGGGTTTAGGGTTTGGGGTTTAGGGTTTAGGGTTTGGGGTTTAGGGTTTAGGGTTTGGGGTTTGGGGTTTTTAAAGTTTGTAGCATATGAATATTTCCCCAGAATAGGGCTGCCCCTTTTTAGACCCCAAATAGAACAGAATTCCCTTACAGGGACCCCAATAAAGGGTACCCCGATTATTGCAAGCAAAAGAACCCCTGCACCATCAAACAACTACTTGCGCATGTTCATGGTGCACAATAGAGTTAGACTGCACTGAGAAGATGCAGCAGCGTTTCGTTCTTTATCCCTCGTCGGTGCAGACTAACTTGTTGCAGAAATCGTGTCGTTTTTAGACCGTTGTTTGTCGGCAGAACAGGAGCATGCACGTACGCATGAACACGCTGGGGTCAACAACCGCAGCGGGGATGTGGTCCTTATAACTTATGAAGGGTATGTACCCCGTGCTGTCAACTCTGGCCGTACCTAAAGCTATGGATCTTCAGCCCACACCCCTTACCTTTCCTGAACCATTTGTTGGAACGCTGCAGGCCTTCTCAATCACCAGGCCGTGTGAAGTGTTAAGCTCTTGGCTGCCTCTACCCCCCAAAGCCATAGGAAAGGTAAGCTCAAAGCTCCAATGCCTCGAAGGGCCAGCTCTCTTGCTCCCTACACTGTGGTCCGGGCCTTGTGGGTGGGGAAGCGGACAATCTTGTCATGTAGTAAGACACCTACTTAAGGTGCCCTACTTCAAGACTATATACACCCGAAACAGAGGCTTCAAGCTTTCAGATGTGCTTGGGCACCCTCCGGCGGCTTAGGGCTCCATGTATAGTGGAGCGTAGATCTTTGAGGAACGAATCGTTGTCGTGCTGCTTGCAGAGAAACACGGTAGGTGTAAGGGTTCATGTACACCTTGGCAGACTAGACCGCATGTCAATTCTCACGTTGCAGATGGACAAGTGACTGCCACGCTCTTTAGGTAAAGAAATTATCTAGGTTTGTTTTTGGGACATTGTTATTTTCCTTATTTGGGTTTATAAGGGACCCTATATATAAATATTTTTCAGAGGGTTTAAAGGCCAACCCAGATAAAGAAACTGTGTTCTCGGAGATCAGCTTGGGATTGGGATGAGGTGCGGCAGTGAAGCGAGCAGCTGATGAGAAAGTCGCTCGGCCATGCATTGCTTGCACCCCTCCCAAAACCACTAAACCTAGGGTTTAGGGTTTAGGGTTCAGGGTTTAGGGTTTAGGGTTTAGGGTTTAGGGTTTAGGGTTTAGGGTTTAGGGTTTGAACCCTAAACTATCAACCCGGTCTGCTTATGGCTGAAACGCTGACCCCCGAACTATGAAGACGCGCCTCAAAATCCCTTGAAGGTCATTCCGCAGCCTTGCGGTCCTCAACTATGGAGCCCCTCAAGCGCTCTAAACTCTAACCCAATTCAGCGTTGAGCTACATAATCATTGGCCCTCGATGGTGCCCTCAAGAATGAGAGTGATATCGCCGGCTAGAACCTCAAATGTCAGAGCGGGTTTCTAACTGTTGTTCTTTCAGTGGGGCCTTCTTTGCCCCTTGCCCTGTACGCTTTGGGGAATAAATAAATTTACGTGCCTTGACTCATTGTCCGTTCTCAAGTTCCGGTCTCCTTTTCCTTAAGCCCGAAACCTTAGACTTGCGGCTGATGTTGAGGACCCTCCCCCCCCCCAACCACAAAAAAAAAACGAAAAACAAGAAGAAAAACAGAGAAATACTTAGAGCCCTTTCCATATGTAGCTGTCTTAGAGTGGTCTCAGTATGGGACCTGTTGGAGACTCTTGCAGTTGGGGAGTTTTTCCTGGGATGCCCAGTAATAGATCCGCCATCAACCCAATTAAGCCCAGGCACACTTGTTTCAGGGGTACCTAGTTGTAGGGCTGGGGCTGTTGCACCAGTGCCGGGAGTTACCCTTGGGTTTGCCCAGACGTCGAGAATGGCTACGAGACGGTTTTGCACTTCGTGTCTCGAGGGCCTAAGAAGAACAAGGAGAAGAAGAAAGTGCTAAGCACAGAAGCTTCAACCGAGACCCAAGAGTAGGACAGCACACCCCACTACCCCCGAAGGCTCGGAAGAGTTGGAGCTGCCACTGCGGAGCGCCTCCGGCCCGGAACTCAGCGTCTTCTCGCATGTCTTTATGGGGCTGCAAGAGTTGAGGGTTCAGGGTTTAGGGTTTAGGGTTTAGGGTTTAGGCTTAGAGGGCCTGGGCTGACATCCCAAGCTAAACCTGGTACAGTCCGCCCCAGTTGACAGGCCGCGGCCTTCGCCCCTCTATCGCAACAAGCTTCGCCACTCAGGTTTGCACCAAATGTGGCACGACTCCTTTCCACCACCACGGCTCCTGCGAGGAGGCATTGGTCAGAAGGGATACTTGGAGGTTGATGTCGTAGTTATATCTGGGGTTCTAAGTGGGATGACTGCCGGTATGACTGGCTGTAGCATTATTGTGGGGTACTTATAAAACCCTACTTCTAACTACCCATGAACCCTTCAAGTACTGCCTGTGGGTTCACAGGTTTAAGGGGTTTAGCCTTGGCTTTAGGGTCTTTGGATCCGAATCCGACTTCTGCAAGAAAGCTGGGGAGCCTCCTCCCCCTAGCATCCCCAGTTGAGGTCTGTAATCTCTACAGGTCGGCCATAACAAATGTAGGTTTTACACATGAAGTAGGGTTCATAGTAAGGCTTTGGTAAGTGTACAGTACTATCTGTGTACATATGCGTATATATATATATATGTATATATAGATATACATATACATACATACATACATACATACATACATACATACATACATACATACATACATACATACATACATACATACATACATACATACATACATACATACATACATACACAGTGGGTGGGTATTCTCTATACATATACGTACACACATATTGGGTAGTAGTAAACTTATTCTGTTTGAGCGAAACATATTTATACGTATGTATACATATATACATGCACATGGGCCTACCACTCCTTCCTAGCACACTTTCGATCATCACCGAAGTCTATCGGGTTATAGATATACAGAAGTAGCTACAAGCTTGAACATCTGGCGACGTTTGGGTTACAGCAGACGTCCCCGAAGCCGAGAATCCTCGACCCTTGAAGGTGCGATTTCTCCGCAAGCGATGGCTGGAGTGGGCGCACGGCGGGGGCCGTGAGGCCATGAATGTGGGTGTACCTAAAGGTTTCATGGGAAGTTATTTTTAGGCCTATGTGCACCTTCTTTTGGGATGACTTGGTGTTGAATAAGTACCCCTTCAAGTGGGCTGGGGAGCTTTACGTGTATAGGGCATAGGCAACAGGGCTTCCCCGCAATCTAATACCTGGGCAAAGCCCGAGCCCGGACGTGACATGGGTTTAGTGCATAGGGCCTGAGGGTTTGCTTAGTCCAACCTGGTACAAGAAATGTTTGAGGCAATCTATTTTTTGCTTCTCCACCTGCCGTTGGTTCATTGACAAAGAGGGTGCTATAGCAACACTAGAGGGATAAGGTGGCCACTAAGAGTACCATGTATGGACCTTCAGCGCATGCTACACTACCAAACTCATTCTATAGTGGGTATGGGTGCCAGTGAGAAGATGTCTTGCCAGTGACTGCCAGGCATATCGTGGCCTCCAGCGACGTGCGAAACGCAAGGCGACGACACAGCAGCGTGCCCTCCGCGAGGACGGGCAAATGGTTTCATTGGGATCATGTGAGGGCTATGGCGCTGACCGTTTTTGCATCGAATTTCGGTGTCGGATACCGACTCTCGGGGGGTATGTTGATCTCAGGGTCGCCACGATGAAGCTGGCAAGTAATGCGTACAGCAGGTTGCCGATTGCACTTCTCTATTGGGAGTTGCTCAGCCTTTTTGACTACGGACTCCTGCAAAACCCTTAAGCCTGAGATCTAAAGGACCCAGGAACCCTACACCCAGAACCCTCAGTTGAAAGCGACTTAGCAACCCTACACCTCAAACCCCAAGCGCTAAACGAACAAGCAACCGGAAATCCTAAAACCCTGAGTTGCTATCGGCGGAGCATCCCTGAACTCCGAAGGTGTAAACGACTGAACAACCTAAACCTACACCCTTTCTGGGAACCAACTTGAAATATGAAACGCAGACCCTAAGCCCTCAACCCTAAACCCTAAACCCTAAACCCTGATCTCCCAGAAGTGAGAGGCCATCGAAATCGGGAGCCAGCAGACTGCAGACAGCCAAGATGATCAGGCCCGGCTGTGTCTTTTGTAATCGGAAGTTCCAGTGTACAGGTACACAACAGGAGGTCTAGGGTTTAGGGTTTACAACTGTTGCCCTATCGGCTGGGTATCTTTACCTTTCTGCCTCCATGATTCTTTTGTATAAGGCTGTCTTGAAAGGCACCCTACACCCTAAACCCTAAACCCTAAACCCTAATTAGGCAAGCAGGCGTACAGCACGGGGGCTGGTACAGCACGGGGGCTGCCGAGTTGAGAGCAGTGGCCGCTGCAATCACTTAACCTGAAACAAAGCTTACCTAGGACCTAGGGTGACCTAAAGAACTCCCAGGGGGGAACGGGGAATAAGATACCACGCTTGAATAACGAGGTATGGTATATCCCTCCCTTGTTTGGTGCATATTTCTGAGCCCAACGCCCGAACCCCGGAACCCCCTAAGTCACTGAAACTCCGAGTCTAAACCCCTTTCCCCGCAGCTGTTCTGCTCAAGTCGAAGCCCCAGCCGGGGATTCGGGCTTACAGGGTTCAAGGGCTTCAGGAGGCCCGAAGCCATGCTCAGACTTGGCAGGCAAGGCTGACGTTAAGCTTGCTAGTCCAGTGGTGCCCTTTACCCTTTTTGTGGGTTATGGGTTCCATGTAAGTTAGCCAACCCAAGAAAGGGTGCTCCTATCGTAGTATGGTTACTGGGCTGACATGAAGTTTTGGGCGGCAGAGGCTTGGATGTTTCGGGTTTGGGGTGTATACGAGTTTTGGGGTCTTCTTCCTGAATCCTGTGACCTAACCCTAATCGAGTTTGCTCAGAAAAGGGTCGGGCTTGGAGAGGCTTCGTAGGTGGCCTTTCACCGCACTTCAACCCCTTATGATCTGCAGAAGGCAAGCCCCTATTTGAGGAAGGAGCCTTTTTCCAACAATCCCACAGCGCAGTCATCCAAGATCTGATTCGAGAGCAAAGCGGGCATGACGCAAGTGTCTCTCCTTTCAGGCAGCCAAGCACTAGCGCGACTCTGCCACACTGGGGCTCACCCTAAACCCTAAACCCTAAACCCCAAACCCCCCCCCCAATTTTGGCCACGGCAGGTTCGCACTTCTGCCTCTGGTAGCTGGCGCAGGCAGCTTCCCGCTGCTCAATATCAAATTTCGGGTTTTCGAGCTTTTGGGTTGTTGGGTTTTAGGGCTTTAGGGCTTTTAGGGTTTTTAGGGTTTTAGGGTCTAGGGTTTATGGGTTAGCCTGAGTTGGGAGGATGCGTGGATCTGCTGGTGATGGGCGACTATGGCACGCGAGATGCTCGCCAGGCGAGTGGAAGTTGATTGCAAAACAGCACCAGGTTCAGGTTAGGGCTTAGAGACAAACAAGACCACTTGAACCCACTACCCCCAGGGCCCCCAAATTCCCCCCACAGTGGACCTCAAAGACTCAACCCTTTACGGAATGCCCACTTCGCAGATCCAATATCATAAAACCGAAGCCCGTAAACCCCATCAGCCCTCGGACAGTTGTTAAGTGGTTTAGGGTTTAGGGTTAGGGTTTAGGGTTTTGGGTTTTGGGTTTTGGGTTTTGGGTTTTTTTTTTTTTTTTTTTGGGGGGGGGGGGGGGGTTGATGGAAGTCTCTATTCTATCGGCGCTTTGAGCTACCCTCCTGAGAACGCACCACAAAAGAGGGGCCCACAATCGAGATCAAGCCCCAAATTCCCTTGATTTGGCCCGTTAAAACCTCCGAAAAGGCAATTCTAAATAGCAAGTTCCTCTTGAACCCAACAAGGGGAAGCTCTTGAACCTAAACAACACCCTGGCCCAATTCTAAGCACTTAATTTTGACCCGAAGCTTAAGAAAACCCCTTAACCCTAGCCGAGCCCTCAGTTCCGCTCATTAAGCCCTTCACCCCGCATCCGTGGAGCCCTCTGAAGACCTAAAAAGTAGGGTTTAGGGTGTAGGGTGTAGGGTTTTAGGGTTTAGGGTTTAGGGTTTAGGGTCACTAAAGCGCTAAAAGTAAGCATCGGCATACACTAAAGCCTCAAAACCTCAAAGCCCATCATGCCACTATATCTTCCGAAGCAATTGAAGCCCGAAGACCCCTAAACTCGTGCCCCCCTCAAAATTTAAGCCCCAAAACCTCCAGTCTTTAATGCCACAGTTTTCCCCAAAGAGGTCATTTAAGCCCGAAGACCCCTAAACCCTTGACCCCCCCAAAAAAAACAAAAATACATCAACAAGGGAATCAGGGCACTAAGTCCTAAGAGCTGTTTGGGGGGTTTGCGGAGCTTCCAGTTGTGGCCCTAAACCCTAAACTAAACCCTAAAACGCTAGTCAGAGGCCTCAGTGGCTCGGGGTCTTGCAGCTGTCGCCAGCGTCCGCCAGCCTGCAGCCGTGGCAGCCATCGGCCCCTCGACAAGGGCCCAAAATGGGTCTCAAGGTTTAGGGTTTAGGGTTTAGGGTTTTAGATTTAGGGTTTTGGTTAGGATTTCAGGGTTCAGGATACGTTTTCCCAGACTCAGCAAGCACGCGTTCAGATACCCGAAATACAGCTTCCAACGGGGTACCCTTGTCCACTTCTGGAGGGCCACGTGGGAGGTTGCCCCTGAGCCCGTATGTCGGTGCTTTTCTGGGTAACAAGAGGCGTCTTGATGGTTGATGGATTGCTGTAAGTCGTTGAAGCAGCTGCTGAAGCAGGCGACAACCTTTATCCATCTGGCGCGGACTACAATCCCTGGACGATCGTTCGGTGGTGGCGCGACGTGCCTCGCATGTTCTTGCACACGTTGCACCTGACTCCCTCAGCCACCAACACAAAAGCCTAATATAGCGGTCAGAATAATTGCTAAAACTTTTCCCTTAGGGTCCCTCGAGAACTATACTATAATCACCCCCAAAACCCTATTCTTATAACCAGTTAGAATTATAGCTACCGTACCTAAAACCCCACTTATAACTACCCCTGAACCTCCAAGTATACCCCTAAACCCTAAACCCCAAACCCCAAACCCTAAACCCTAAGCCCTAAACCCCAAACTCTAAACTCTAAACCCTTTAAACCCTAAACCCTAAACCTTAATTAAAGTTACCTTTCGCATGCCCAGAGAGCACCGCACGAAGGTGTACATGGGCTACGACTCACTGAATCGACCCTGGCACGTCATTACAGGAGAGACCCAGTACTTGGAGGTTCACGGGTAGTTAGAAGTGGGGTTTGGGGTTTAGGGTTAGGGTTTAGGGTTTAGGGTTTAGGGGTATACTTGGAGGTTCATGGGTGGTTAAAAGTGGGGCTATAAGTAAGGTAACTACAGTTATGCGTGGTCATAACCTTATTTAGGGTACTTCTAACCCTACTTAAAGCTACCCATGAACCTTCAAGTACCTTGTCTTGGGGGGGTTTCCGAAAGTCAGGGTACCCTTCTGAGGGGTTCCCTTGTTAAGGGGGTTCCATTCCATGCGGGGCGGGGGGTGGAAAATAAGTACCCCTGTTTGGGGTGAATACCCTTGTGAGGCAAAAAAACGCATTGGCTCGATAAAAAACTCGCAACCTCGCGGCTCTTCGACCTGGCGAAACTGGGGTTCTTCAGGAAGTTGGCGTCTAGGTACTGGAACTTTTGGGTGCTGCGCCCCTTACCCGAGTTGGTATTGCAAAAGGGTTCTGCTTAGGCCTCAAAGTAGGGGCCTCTTTCTATGTTTGGAGTCCTTGGAACCCTAAAGCCTAGACGAGAGCAGCACCTTTTGATCCGAAGCCTGGGCAGTCAGGGCTCTACAGGGTTTAGGGTTTAGGGTTTAGGGTTTAGGGTTTAGGGTTTAGGGTTTAGGGTTTCCTTCACTAATAAAGTAGCAGGGGTACACTTCGACACCCTGTAGACCGAACGGAAAAGCTCGTGGGGTTTAGGCTTCGGAAGCCGTCCGGCGGCCAGGAAACCACGACTGGATGACGGATGGAACAGTGGAGCGAGACTTCACCAGCTCCAGTGAGAACCCAGGCTCACTTCAGGGGCCCCCTACAAGCCGCTCTAACTCTTAAAGTCTTATACTCTAAGAGTCTCCTGCATGCTGTGTGTTGCTTCCGGAGTGTGCATCAAGGTGCGCCGAGGCAGGGCAGTAGAATTTAAGGCTGAAGGTCTCGGGGTGTAGCATGTACAAGGCTTGGGACCGTAGAGTGTGGGAGGTCCATGCTTTCGGAGATAAGTGGTAGCTTAGGTGCAGATCTCATCGTTCTACCTTAGCCCTGAACCCTGTACTTTAGGGTCTTCAGGGCCTTTAAGGCCCTTAAGGGCCTTTAGGGCCTTTAGGGCCTTTAGGGCTTGTGTTGAGAGCCGTGCCAGGTGGCCACTGGCAGATGCCGGACTTCTGGTTCAAGCCACTGGGTGGAAATTGTTCATCAGAGAAGACTTAAATGGGGGGTCTACGAAAATAGGGGACCCCTGACATAGATCCCCAATAGGAGGGTTCCCTTATAATAAGGACCCCAAATTAAGGTACCCCTAAACCCTAAACCCTGAACCTTAAACCCTAAACCCGAATTTCGGAAACCCCCAATCGGTTTAGGTGCTGGAACGAGTTCAAGGCATGGCAGAGTCCTCATCCATGGGTTTGAGGGCTTGTGGGTTTAGGGTTTAGGGTTTAGGGGGTTTAGGGGGTTTAGGGTTTAGGGTTAAGGGCATCAGACGCCAGAGTTGCAGGTTTGTCGACTTTAGGGGGGTCAGCGTTGCTTCATGCGAGGAAGACATATGCGGCGGACGGTCTCACTGTGGACGCATTTTACATCGACACCCAGGCAGCTCGACAGCTAGACTGGCTGGCCAAGAAGGTTAGACTTTGGGCTTTTGGGCTATACTGGTCTATTGTGAAATTTATTTTACATGTTTATGAATACCTAACTCCAAGAAGGAACAAACATGATCTTTTTCTAACAGGACCCCAACAACTTCACCATCCGACCCTACTTAAGAACCTAAACTAGGGATTCGAAACCCTCAGCTGGCATCGGTGATTCCCTCGGCGCCGATCGGGGATCCTTCATTGTGGTTTAGGGTTTAGGGTTAGGGTTTAGGGTTTAGGGTTTAGGGTTTAGGGTTTAGGGTTTAGGGTTTAGGGTTTAGGGTTTAGGGTTTAGGGTTTAGGGTTTGGGGTTTAGGGTTTAGGGATGCTTAGCTGCAAGTTGTTCAGCTTGAGGTTTGAGCCTGAACACCGAAACAAACCGTGACCCCCCTGGACCTTGAAGCCCAGGAACTTCAGAAGCAACTCCTGGTCTTTAGTAGGGTTTAGGGTTTAGGGTTTAGGGTTTAGGGTTTAGGGTTTAGGGTTTAGGGGAGTGAGTAAATAGGGCCCCTGATTCCCTCATTGCCTACTAAGAACCAGGGGTCCCTGACGTCTTACCTGCTGGCCTCTGCGACGTCAGCGTTCCAATGGCGCTCTTTTGTAGGTTACTGCTAGAAAACCCCTGTTTTTGGATTCTTCGGTAACCTACAACACCGTAGGTTTTGGGCGTTTTCAGATTGGTTAGTTAAGCCGTTGAGAGACATCCGAAACCCCCATGTGGCGGGGAGGTATGGAAAGGCAGCTACCTCGCGGATCAGACCATCGGCCGGCAAGCACGCTCCTTGAAGAGCAGCTAGCAATCCGCGAGGTCGAGTCTGAAACCTCTCGGGCCGGTACTTGAAGGTTCATGGGTAGTTAGAAGTAGAGTTATAGGTACCCTAAATAAGGTTATGGCTCATGACCAGTTCTAATTTATAGTTGCCTTACCGAAAACCCCACCTATAAACTACCCATGAACCTCCAAGTGCGGAATGGTGCATTACAATGATTTCCCTACGCACCAAGTGTATTTGTCGCGGTGTTAGTTTTTAATGTTGCACCCTAAACCTTAAGCCCTTCAAAAGGTCCAAAGTCCCGAGGCCAACGCCAGATCGACTGGCTGTTCTCTCAGCTGGAGAAGTCCACGGCAGACTGGAAGATTGTTTTGGGCCACCATCCCATTTACTCAGCAGGCGCTGCTGGTTTAAGGGTGATCTACTTCGGGGTTTAGGGTTGAGCGTGCAACCAAGACTACACCAGTGGGGCGCTTGGTTTGAGGTACCTGGCTTCGTGTTTGGACATGATGCCATGAGCATCAGGAGAGTAGGGGAAGCAGCCGCACTGGGCCATCAACATATCCGGATGGTTCTCGTTGACTAGCCACATTTGTAACTACGGAACAGCTATTCCCTAAACCCTAAACCCCTAAACCCTAAACCACAAGCCCCCTAAACGCTCATGATCCCTTGGCCTTGGCAGGCAACCACGGTATGACGGAAGTGCTCTACCGAAGCCTGCTTGCAAAGGGTTTAGGGTTTAGGGTTTAGGGTTTAGGGTTTAGGGTTTAGGGTTTCGGGTTTCGGGTTTCGGGTTTCGGGTTTCGGGTTTCGGGTTTGGTCTTTAGGTATCGGTGCTGGCAGGCTGGGGGATGCCCAGGTGTTCCTGCAAAGCAGGCGCGTGCGAATGAGGATTGAGGGGGGTTAAGGGCCGCGACGAGGCATTCTACGCCGGTGCTTCGGTGGCTGCCTTCTTCAAGCGAGCACCCCAAGAACAGTAAGCAACCCTAACAGCCCCAAAGCCCTGTACCAACCTAAACCCTAAGAAAGCCCCTAGGACTCTAAGAGCCCTGGACTCTGAGAGCCCTTAGAACCTTGAAACAACCCACCGAAACCCTAAACCCCCTAAACCCTAAACCCCAAACCCCAAACCCTAAACCCTAAACCCTAAACCCTAAACCCTAAACCCTAAACCCTAAACCCTAAACCCTAAACCCTAAACCCTAATCCTCAACCCTAAACTCTCAACCCTAAACCCCTTAGGCGAGCTGGACCCAAAGTTGCGCGAGTACGGGGTGCCCTTGTATCTCGCTGGGCATGACCACAGTGCTCGAGCCGCACGCCATTTGGGGGGGGGGAGGGATTCAGGGGTGTTTTGGAGGGTTTTAGGGTTTTTAGAGTTTTTTTAAGGGTTTGATAAGGGTTGTTTTTGGGTTTTTAAGGGTTTTTTAGGGTGTTTTGGGGCTTAGGGTTTTGGGGTTTTGGGGTTTAGGGCTTAGGGTTTTAGGGTCGTAGGGTTTTGGGTTTTGGGGTTTTTGGGCTTGAGGGGTTTTGGGTTCAGGGTTTTTTGGGTTGTTTGGGTTGTTTGGGTTGTTTGGGTTTCGGGTTTTTGGGCTTTGGGGTTTAAGGGTTTTAGGGTTTAAGGGTTTAAGGGTTTAAGGGTTTAAGGGTTTAAGGGTTTAAGGGTTTAAGGGTTTAAGGGTCCGGGTTTAGGGTTTTACATTTTAGGGGGGTTTCCCGCCCTTCTCGGTGTGGAGGTTGTTCGGTTGAGGTTGTCCACTCCTCCTTGGCCGGTCTCCTAGCCTGCATCTTCCCATCCCCGCAGAGAATCCCGCAGCGAGTCCCGTAAGCCCTAAACCTAGCACGACGGAATCCTGCAGCGCCTAAACCCCAAACCCCAAACCCTGAAGGGAAGGATAGCTCTCACATTGGTCGGCTTGGGTGGAGGGGGGGAGGGAGGCGGGGTGGAGATGATCGAAGTAGATGATATGTCTTCAGGGATTCGGGGTTTAAGGTTTTCAAGCTTACGGTTATGGGGGCTACGTTGGGGCTTAGAGTTTCAATTAGGGTTTGAGTTCCAGGGTTTCCGGATTTAGGATTTAGGATCTTCGGGTTTATGGTTCAGGGTTTAGGGTCTAGGGCTTAGGGTTGTTGATGTTTTTTTGGGTGTTTTTTAGGGTTTTCCGCCCAACAGCCTGAACCATTGAAACCTTCGGCACGCACCCGTACTTGAATTTTCATACAGGGCAGCCCGGGAGGTGGATTCCCGGCTTCGGCACTTGTCATGGTTTCGTGCTTGCGCTTTTCTGGGCAAATCCCGTCAAGGCATGCTACCCGCTGGATCTGGGTCGGGAATGAGGGAATTCGGGCCCTATATATACCCGTTAAGGGAGTATAAGGTACCTCATTCCCTCGTTCCCTACCAAAAACCAGCCAGCTTAACCAGGTAAACAGGTCATCTACTACGAGGGCCTCAACTATGCTGCTCGGTTTCGATTGAATCTGCCTCGGGGTGTCAAGTCTGGGCTAGGCGAGCCTCAGACAAAAGGGGGATAGATAGTTTTCCTCTACTATAAACATGGGCTTCTTTTGCATTCCCATAATTTAGCCGAGCTGTTTTTCCTTGATCCGCATTGTATAGATCTTTTGTGTGTGTGTGTGTGTGTCTGTCTGTCTGTCTGTCTGTCTGTCTGTCTGTCTGTCTGTCTGTCTGTCTGTCTGTCTGTCTGTCTGTCTGTCTGTCTGTCTGTCTGTCTGTGCCTGTGTCTTTCTTTGTTTGGTTCTCGGATTTTCTTGCATCTTCAGAGGAGGGGCTGCAGTCAAGAGAGAGCGGCTGAGAATCCAGACTTTCCTTCAATGGAGTTTGAGATAGGCACGGTAAGTGCAATTTACCATAAACGCGCTAATGGGTTCCATCCAAAAGGTTGCAGAATAGATGCGGGCGGAGATTTCGTGCGCGGAAATCTGTGGATTGGAGGTAGCTGCGTCCAGCTGCTCTTGAGTCTTTGAAGGTTACAGGGGTTACACACCGCAGGTCAGATAGTCGGCACAGCTAGTTGGAGTGTCGATTCCACCGCAACCCCAACCCGTCCACCTTTAGGCTCTTAAGCCCGTACCCGACACTGCCGCGGTCGAACAGGCCCTGCAGATGACGCTGCAAAAGCCTAAGACCCTTAGTCGTCTGTGAAGGCTTCGAATTCAGAACCCCAACTGAAACCCTGGGCTGTAAGCCCTCAAGCCGCCGGCCTCGAGTCAACCGGCACGAGTTTTGACAATTTCTTCGTGCGACAGTTCGCCATAGGTGGGGGGTACACGGGCGGCTGGAGTTTTAACACAAAGCTAAGGCTCAATCGCCAGTCACACACCACTCGCCTCAACCAACCAGGGCCTGTCGTTGCTCATCCCCTTTGATATAATTAATGCGGGAGGGTTATAAGGGCAATGTCGGAGCTATTTTGGGCCCTAAGCCGTATTGCAAAAACTCCGTGCCCAGATCATTAGCGGCGCGGGCGGAGCCGTTGCACGCTCGCGGTCGAATCAGTACCCACAAGGCTGGGTCAGGGTTTAGGGAATGGCCCTGGGTACGTCCTACCTACCCTGTAGATCAGAGGCGTGCTGGGTTTGGGGTTCAGTTTAGGGCTTATAGGGTTCAGGGGCTTGGGGCTCTCAGGCTTCAGGGACTGGGAATTAAGGTCTTTGGGTTTTGGGTTTAGCAGGATCTTTGAGGGTTTCGGGAGTAAGGCTTAGGGCTTAGGGTCGTTCTGGAGGGTGCTTCCCTTAAACCCTAAGCCCGAGACCCTAAACGGATCTAAACGGGACCCTAAAGCCTAAACCCTAAACCCTAAGGTTTTTGTGTAGGGCTTTGGGGCGCCAGGCAGCCTCAAGCACTATTTCCCCGATGCGGGCTTCGTGGGCCTGCCGCTTGCTTCAACCCCCCGAAGTCGCTTCAACAACCAGGGTTGAGGGTTTGGGGTTATGGGGTTTAGGGTTTAGGGTTTGGGTTTTAGGGTTTAGGGTTTAGGGTTTAGGGTTTAGGGATTTCAGGGTCTAATCTAAGATGCCGTGTAGTACCCATCATCCCTTACGCACCTTGGGAGAACCTGCATGTGAGGAATACGTATTCAACTATGTAGGTCGGGGTCCTGATTATGAATGAAGGTCTAGGTTCTGTAGAAAAGTGTTCATTCTTCAAGGGCTTCTGGCTTCAAAGAGGTCTTAACGCTTTCCTGTGTGGCGGGCATAGCTGAGGCAGATTTGCGACAAGCACAAGGCGACCGTCACCATCTATGGTGCAGGCCTTGCATCCATGTGCGCGCGATCTGTGTGTATGTGTGTGCGTGCGCACCGATTGCGTGAGTGCGCGTGCAGCAGCAGGAAGCTTGTGCAGAGGCTTTCTCGAAAGCCTTGTCTCTTCTAGCCACGTCATGGTCACTCGGACTTGAGGTTACAGGCGCCCTAAACCCTAAACCCTAAGCCCTAAACCCTAAACCCTAAACCCTAACGTTACGGTAGCCTTCGGCATCTCTCGGCGAGGTGGCGAGGTTCAGACGACTTGGCCGGTGGAGAACTCCGTGCGAAGGGGCACCCTGGCCCAGCAAAATGCGATTTTCGCGGGGGGGTGCTGAGGGGGAAGGTAGACAGCGGCTTTTGGCTAACCCTAAACCCTAAACCCTAAACCCTTTCCCAGGGCTAGAAATACTCCACCCTTTGAGATTTTCATCAAGCCCATAGATAGCTCTAACCCCTCAATCCTGAACCCTACCTCGATGCCCAATCCTAAATCCTTTTTGGGGTGCTGAATTTGCTTACCATATTGGACGAACCGTAGAGTTACATAGATGTACATATATCCCACAAGGGATGAGAATAGTTAGGGGTCACGGCCCTTTTGTGTAGACCCAATCTCCTCTAATGAAGCTTGTCCGTCACACCATAAAACGGGTGTCGTCTTCAGCACATCTTGATGCGGTTGATCTCCAAAGAGTCACAATCTTCGCCTGTAGCCCTGCCCAAAAGGGTATGTAGGTCATTGGTATGAGCAATCTGGGCTTGAGGCATGGGTCTAGCAATACAGCAGCGCTGCCATAAAGACGAAGTACGAGGATCCTGCGCAGGATTTTGTTCAGAGAACGCTAAACCCTAAACCCCAAACCCCAAACCCTAAACCCCAGGATCTTCAGCCTGAAAGGTCAGACGCGGATGGCGACCCACCTAGCTTCCAAGAAGGCAGGTGCTTGTTCATGGGACTCCGCGGCCTCCGTACCCATTTCATCCCCTTGGTTCATGGGTAACCCTAAACCCTAAACCTTAAACCCTCAACCCTAAACCCTAAACCCCTTGGTTCATGGGTGACCTAGGACTCAAGAAGACTTTGTGAAAGTCGAGCTTTGTACCTTGAACTTGCTGCACTAGGCCTCCCCAGGGTTGGGCTGTTCCCCCTTATACTAACAGTCCTTGTCAGGGATTAAAAAAAGTATCCCCTATTCTAATCCCTACTACGCACTGTTAGTATAAGGGGGATCATCCCAAGCTTTCAGGCTTCTGGCACCCAAAACAAAGGGGGAATCATTAGTGGTGGTCGGTTGTCAGTGCAAACTTGCCACCGCCCTCTGCATGACCCGGCACCCGAACGTTTCCTCAAGGGATCCCGAAACCAAGCCCCGCAGGTTCATAGCAAGGTTCTAGGGTTTTCAGATTAAGAACAAGGTAACCTCGCATACGACCACGGTGCCC